GTGTCTGGGGTTGTGGGGAACACTACTGCCTGACTGGTGCAGTAATGATCAGGGTTGTCTGTCTGCCCCTCCTGAGGATGCTGGGAAGGAAGTACCTGGCAGCCATGTTTGTATTAGGCGACTCCATTTCTCTGGCCACAGCTGATTGTTCAGGAGAATAACTGAACTGAGCTAGGCCAATGAGGCACTTCCTCCTGCTGGGGAATTTGAATTATATGACACTGAATGTCCCAGTCAGGCAGTAGTGTTCCCCACAACCCCAGACACAAGTTCATGCATAACTGGCACCAGACAATGTCACAGGAATCCACAGACAACTTGAAGCAATGAGAGGATAGAAGCTAAGAGAGAACGAGGCTGACTCACAGAGGACAGAAGGAACTAGGTGGCGTCTCAGATGGGGAAAGAGTAGCTAACTGGTCATTCCCCTGTTCCCCGAAGGCCTGACTGTACCACTGGCATTTCAGTGATACAAGATTGCCCTATAGTCTCATAAGGAGGACCCTTTTACCAGAGATCTTAACAGCATTATAGTCCCTACCTGTGGGTGCAAGTTATCCAAAATTGTCACCCAGATTCGGACACACAGTGTGGTATCTGACCAGGGGAGTGAATTTTTCCACTGTCCTCTGTGGTACTCTGATGGAGAATATGATTTTGAATCTAGGAAGGTGTCATATATATGTTTTTTTTAATTAAAAAAATTTTTTTCAACGTTTATTTATTTTTGGGACAGAGAGAGACAGAGCATGAACAGGGGAGGGGCAGAGAGAGAGGGAGACACAGAATCGGAAACAGGCTCCAGGCTCTGAGCCATCAGCCCAGAGCCTGACGCGGGGCTCGAACTCCCGGACCGCGAGATCGTGACCTGGCTGAAGTCGGACGCTTAACCGACTGCGCCACCCAGGCGCCCCGAAGGTGTCATATTTTAAGAATGTTGCCAGAAGATGGGGTTCAGGAGTCAGGTTATCTCAGAAAATAGAGGCAGTGGAAGCTACTGCTAGAGCTGTGGATCT